GAGTCTTTTCAGAGGAAGCTGAGTTGGCGAATGAAAACATTCTCAGTACACGTCATCATTCAATGGCATGTGAGTGGCTGCCCCTCAGAGCTGCAGAGTTAGAAAGGGAAGACAAGCTTAACAACAGAGCCAGGCTAGGCCCATGGTAGTCTTCTGTGTAGCTGGGGGCGATATGCCCAAATTGGGAGATGTTGGCTGGAACGAATGGGAAGAAGAAAGGGTACCTAAAGGAGCATTATTTCTTTGATGATTCTACCTGAGGCTGGTCCTGCTTGGAACTGGCTCCTATTGTGCCATGCAACAGCTCTTGTGTGATCTCTAAAAATGCCCTCCCACTGTGGTCTCACAAATCCTTCTAATGCTAATTTGCCCTGAAGTACTGTTCTTTTCCAGGGTATAAATTATTGAAGCAGTTGTGGTTAGCAAAGGGAAGGATAGCGAAACCCACCTGAGCCTTCCAAAGCAAATGGCCAGACACCTCGTCTGAGTTCCAGAAGTTTAAAGAAAGCCTGACCAAGCCATCTCAGGCAGGAAGTCATTTCACAGCTAAAACGGCTGCCCACTTCCTAAGTGAGGCGGGGGAATCCGGGATCCAGCGAGAGATGCCTCACATCTTTTCACCATTGCAAGTTCCCCAGCTTTCTCCCTGACCAGGACTGTGGGGAAGCCACGAGAATAGAAAGTGATTCACAAAGGCCGGCTGGAGCCTCTTTCAGTTGTTCACTCTCAGGCAGAGGCATCTATTAGTATCTGTGTAAAAGGGTGAGAGCTGGCACCGAGCATCACGCACAGCATTTGGTCTGGCAGGGGGCATGATGTTCTCTACCATTTGAGTGAGGGGAGGGACCCCCTTTGTGTTGGGGAAGCTGTCAGGATATGAGCTATGGACATATGTCAAAGTAGGCTGAGCTCTAAGAAGCTTGACTCACATTTCCTCAGAGGATGCTGCAAAACAGATAGGCTGAAAACAAAAAATACATCCGTTGTTTCATTTATCAAAGTTCTTGCAGTTCCCAGTTTGAAGCAAGGGAAAGCAGAGCAAATATCTGTCTAGAAAAGTGAGCTTGAAAGCTAGAGGGCTGGGGTAAATAAAAAAAAGTTAGAAAACAGTGCTTTGAAAATTTCAAAGACAAATGCAAAAGAATAGACAAATGCTTTTTGCTCTGCTCGCCCACCCTAGCATATGCCTCGCAGTTAAAGAGACTGGCTCAGGGCGTAAGTCTGCCATTTAATAGTGGGCTCAACCATGGGCATATTACTTAACCTCTTCTGAGCCCACTTTTCTCATCTGTGAAGTGGATGTTAGAAATAAGAGAATTTTCCTTGTAGGATTATGAGGATAATAATCTATGGGAAGCACTTAACATAGTGAGCCGCGCACAAGCTCCGAATTAATGTTAACTATTATTCTTATTAGTCTCCTAAGTAAAAATTGCATTCAAAATACATGAACATTGCAAAATTTTAAAGCTGAAGCTTCAGTTGATTATAAGAGGGTTTTATAAATAGGCCTAGAAGAGTTGGAATGTTCCTTTGCAGGAACGGTCAGTCTCAGCATATTGATTAAGCACCAAGACATGCCTGGTAGTGTTCTGGAGGTTATACAAATGAGGAAAATAAACACAACGTTCAAGTCACATGGCATCATTACCTACAAATACAGAGGCACGTCAAGGGGTGTTTTATGAGTGAGTGTGTGTGTGTGTATGTGTGCAAAACCCTATTGGCATGACCTTCACAGGTTTTTACATAAGAAGATAAATTTGACCCCGTTTTTATGAAACAGACGTTGATTGATTTTGCACAACCTCAAAGGATGCAAAATGGGTGGCAAGAGAGAAAGGAAGGGTGTTACAGAATGAATGGCAGGGATATTTTCTTACAAGAGGAATTGTTATCTGCCTGGAGCAATTTTTGCCAGATCTTTGCTTGGATGGCTTTTTGTCATAAAGGTCTTGGCTCAAATGTCACCACCTCATAGAACCTTTCCCTGGGCAGCCAATCTAAATTAAATCCATTCCCCATTCTTTTAATCTTCTAGCCTTCTTTTATTTTCTTTTAAGCACTTATTCTGCTTTGAAAATACCTTGTCCATATATTTGTTGATTTGTTTACTGTTCAACTCTCCCCATAATAATACACACAATTCACATGAGAGTAACAGCCACGTCAGCATTTGTTTGTCACCATATCCCAGAGTCTGGCACATAGCAGACATTTGATAAATAGTTGATGAAGAAATAATTGAATAATTGGGGCTCATTTAGCCTTTTTTTCTCTTCATACTTTGTCTTTTCGTGTGGTCATTTAGTTAGTAAATCTCAGTTCATCAGATCATTTTGGCTTCTTGCTATTGCACAAAAGACATCAGGCCCAGGGCCAGCATGGTGGTGTAGTGGTTGAGTTTGCGCTCTCCGCTTTGGTGGCCCAGGGTTTGTAGGTTCAGATCCAGGCGTGGACCTACTCACTGCTCATCAAGCCATGCTGTGGCACGTCCTACATACAAAGCAGAGGAAGATTAGCACTGATCTTGGCTCAGAGACAATCTTCCTCAAGCAAAAAGAGGAAGATTGGCAATAGATATTAGCTCAGGACCAATCTTCCTCACCAAAAAAAGATATCAGGTTGTTGGAAATTTGTGGATGAGTCACTTCCTGTACCATTTTACCTTAGCAACATACTTTTATTAATTTGCTAGGGCTGCTGTAACAAAGTACCACAAACTGGGCGGCCTGAACAACAGAAATTTACTGTCTCTGGGAGGCTGGAGATCTGAGATCAGGAAATTAGTAAGGTTGGTTCTTCCTGAGGGCTGAGAGAGAATCTATTGCAGGTCCCTCTTCTCTTCTAGTGGTTTGTTGGCAGTCTTTGGCGTTCCTTGCCTTACAGGAGCATCACCCCAATCTCTGCCTTCATCGTCACATGGTGTTCTCTCTTTGTGTGTCTCCAAATTTCCCCTTTTTATAAGGACACTAGTCACATTGGATTAGGGCCCACCCTAATGACCTCATTTTAACTTGATTACCTCTGTAAAGACCCTCTCTCCAAATAAGGTCACATTCCAAGGTAATGGGGATTAGGATGCCAACATATGAATTTGGGGGACACGGTTAAACCTCTAGTGATACAGAACATCCAGGATGGGAGAATACGGTGTTAGGTTGAGCCACACAAAATGGCTTACATTTCTTTTGCCCCACCAGGACAAGAAAACTTCAGTCCAGGGAAACTTGGAGATACGTAAAATAGCAGGGCTTAAGGAAACACAGAGACCCATGCCAGAACCATGGCTGACACAGTGTTGAACCAATAAATATTTGGTGAACGGATGAATGTGGCCTTCTTCTAAATAGCTTGCTCCCTCAGCTCTTCTGTCTTTGTTGAACTGTTACCTTGTCGGTGAGAACTGGCCTGACCGCGACAGTTAAAATCACAACTTCCCAGCTCTCATGTCCCTTTCTGCACTTCATTTCTCTCTGTAACACACCTTCCATCATACTCTGTACTTCATTAATTTATATGTTAATTGCCTGTCTTTCCTCTCTGGAAGTCCAGCTCCATGGGAGCAGGAATTTTTACTGCTTTACTTCTGTATGTACCAGCACCTGCTACAGTGCTTGACACAGAGGTGGCCCTCAATTTCACTGAGTGAACGAATGGTGCCAGGGAAGTGCTCTGGCATCTCCTGGCACGCAGTTTCAGGTTTTCCTTTGATCTGCCGTGGTCCTCCCAGAGAATCTCAGCACTGAGGTGCACCTCAATGATCCAGGCCCTGTCTTGGATGCTTGGCTCCCTCTTAGACTAGTGACAACTTGGTAACACAACTATCTTTGGCTGCAGAGCCCTAATTTTGATAATAAAAGAGCAAAGGATTGAAAATGTTAAATGCTACACAAAATAATACAGAACGGGGTACGCGTGTACAGAACAAAGGTATGGGGAACAGAGACAGGAGGCCTGCCATAGATTAGTTCAAGCAGTAGGTTCAGACAAGGGCAAATATACTTTGGAGTGCAGCTGGCAGGATGACGCATACTTTTATATCAATGCAGAGTAAAAGGACCGGAAGATTATAAGGCAAACCAATGACAGTGCACACCACACTGGGATAGGGCAACGCATCTCTAGCTTTCTGCATATACTAACCACCTGCGGATCTTGTTAAAATGAAGATTCTGATTCCCCGGTGGGGTCTGAAAGTCTGCATTCCTAACAAGTCCTCAGGGGCTGCTCTTCTCGACCACACTTTGAATATCAAAGAACATGAATTCTGCAACCAAACTTCCAGGGTTCAAATTGCACCCACCAGTTGCCGCCGATTAACTGTAACCTTCAGTAGGTTATTTAACCGCGCTACGCCTTCGTTTTCTTCTCTATGAAATGGAGATCAGGTGAGGCAGTCTCTGTGAAATGAATACTATTTAAGTGTCGCGATTATTAGAGTTGCTTCACTTGGGGAAGGGAGAGGCGAAGAGGGTTTGACATGGGGTGCAAGTTAAAGAACTTTTTGCAATACTTTTATAAATTTCAAAATAAGAAAGTAATCAGGTATTGACAAGCATGCGGATTTTCCTCCTCTCCCGTGTAAGCAAGTTACATAAGACGCTGCATTAGTTATGCGTCGGCTACGCGCAGGGCGGCTAAGGAAGCCCTTTTGCAAACTGCTTTGGGTCCTCGGATGGATCCACCGTGTGTGGGGATTGCTGTCGACTGAGTCAGCCCCAAGTTCCACTCCTTTATGCGGCGCTCAGCGTGGCTCTCAGGTATTCAGAAAGAATACCTTTCCCCAGCACCTGCGGAGCGGCGGCCACAGCGCGGCGCACGGGAGAGACGCCGAGAACCGGGCGGCGGGGGCGGGCCGACCGAGCAGGGGTGCGGGGCGGGGAGAGGGCTGGCCCACGTGGACCACCGGGCTGGGCGGGGACAGGGGCAGCCGGTCCTCCTGGCCAATCAGCGCGGCCCGGCCCTCCCGCCCCCCTCCCCCCGGCCGGCTAGGTCTCCAGGCTCCGCTCGGCGCTGCTAGCTGCGCGCCGCCTTGGACGGGGCGCACGCACCCGGATCGCAGGAGTAGAGTCGCCGCCGCCGCTCCCGCAGATGCTGCTTCTCCCGCGGCAGTTTCTGGCGTGTCTTTGGAGTGACTTGGAACTTACTTTCACAGAGAGTCTGTGGAGATGATGGGCCGCTCCCGGGGCGACCGCGGGGAGGCGGCACAGTGAGCGTCCTCCGGCTCCGGTGGGGAGATCGGTGCCTCGCCCTGGAAGCACCGGTCCGACTTGGCTGCCGGCTCTAGTCGAGTAAGACAGGTTGGAAGGGGAAAGGAGGGGGGTGGAAGATGGGGTTGGGGTGGCTTTGGATCCCGTTCACAGTCTCTGTCTTGTAGGCAGCAGCTGCCTCTCGGGCTGATGCCGACTTGACTTGGCTCGGGGTAGCCCCCCTCATCCCGCCCTCTGGTGTGCGGGGGTGACCTCCTGTGCGGTAGTTGGCGTGCACCCCGAAGTTGGAATCGGCGCTCCGAAGTGAGGATGTGTGGCTGGGGAGGGGCAGCGGCCACTTCCAACTTCGGAGTCCGTGTCTGCCGTGGATGCGAAAGAGGCCACTTGATGGATTGGCATGAGGAGGGGGAGGGCGAACTCGCCGTGAGCTGTCGTTTTGGAGAAGCCGGCTTTGGAGCTTCATCCCTCCGGTCTGAGCGGGGATCCTTGTAGGAGCTGGCGGAAGGGAGCAGGTTAGCCGACACCTGAATCCCTGGTTGCAGGGATCTTGCTAGAAAAACGCCGCGTGCGTCTGGGACTCGTCTTCCAGCTGGGAGCGCAAAGCTTCCCGCCCAAGTGGAGAACGGAGTGGGTCTGGAAGTTCTGTCTCTTCCCGAATTAGGCATCTCGGGTTTTCTACCACGCCGGCGTTCCTACATTTCTTCCCCTCTTTCAAACCTTCTCTTGCCTCATTTGCCGTGTCAGTCCACTCCTGGAGGGGGGTATCATCTTTTATCCTAAACCATGAGCTCATTCTTGGGGAGGATGGGAAGTGGAAAGCCTGATATCCCGCACCTAGGGAGGCAGCCCAAGCCAGACACGCTGCCACCGGTGCGTTTTTCCCCTTAGCTCCTAAATCAGTATCATTCAACGTTTGGGGGCTCCAGGGACCCCTCTGAAAGCGTTAGCCAAGCTGTGAATCAACTCCCTAGCAAAATGTATATGCACAGGTTCATGGACTTGCCGAGACCTACCCGGGTGCCCACCCCCCACCAGGATTTAAGGAGCGTGTCGTCCTGTCTCCCCAGCGCCCCCGTGAAGCGTTCGTGTTCCTGTACTCTATCCCCTTTAACTTTTCAATGGCGGTCCCTCCAAGACGAGCAAGGCTGATGTACTGTGCCGTAAGTGATCCCGTTGTGTGGGACGGGCGTGTTCGAAGCCTTGGTCTGGTTCTTTCTCTAATAGCCTTGGTACAGGGATTGTCCACAAGAACCCGAAGCCCCCACCGGCAGACTCAGACACCCAAACTTGCCCATGTTGATGGCTTAGCTTTCTGATCACGCTGGCCCCCTCCAGACCACTCTCCAAGGGTGAGGAGGTGATGGCAATTTCTCTGTGTGTCTGAGCCGAGTTCAGGCAGGGCCTGATGTAAAGAAAAAAATGGCTAAAATAATTTAGGAACATCCGTTTCACAGTATAATCTGTGTTTTCCACTCAGTCATTTGAGAACAGATGTATGACTTGAAGAATTCTTCAACAGCTCGCTGTGGGTTTTACAGTGAGAAGCATTTCTGCCAAGTTTGTAGTCATAAATCAGTTCGCAAGCCCAACACTTCCTTTGGATTGGAAATACGGCTCTTAATAAGGCAACGTGAGAGCAGTTTTCAGAATCATCATGACTAATGATGACTTATGTCCTCCCAAACTGACCCTGTGAGTTGGCATTGCTCGTTTGTGCAGAAAGCTTTCTTCGTAGGTGCGGATGTTTCTTGATCAATATTCTCACAGCTGAAAGCCCTATTTCAACGTTCCCTTCCTCAGTTCTTCTGTGTCATTGTTCTGCTTTGCATGACTTTGCTCTCTTCCCTCTGTACCATCTTACTTACCCTTTGACACTTGAAAATTTGTTAGGTTTTAAGTCACAATTTGACTTGGCCAGTTTTCCCTGTTAAGAGATAAGAAAGTTGCCCTTCCCAGGAAAGCAGTGGCTGCCAATTCGCTTATTTTTGAATGACTTTAATTTTTTTTGAATACTGAATATTTTCTATTGGAGGCAGCCTTTCCATATTTCTAGTACTAGAATGTTTGTTCTAGGGCACTTGAATTTCAGTATTCATTTTTTGCTCTTTTTAGAGATGTGTATTGTTTGGTGACCTAGTTCCATTTAGATAAAAAAAAAAGTCTTTGCTTTGTCCCCCCACCTCCTTTTCAGTGGCACATAGCCTTTCTCTAATAGCTGCTTTTATCTGCACAGCTCATTTTTTGTTACGCATAATATAATACTTTGTTATGTAAATGATGTGTTGATGCATATGATATTAAAACTGCATTCACTGGGAATTAACCCATGGGTATGACGTCATCACCAGCCAATCCTCTATCTGATTTGAACATGCATTGACAAAAGTCATATTATCATATTGAGTGAGGGTTTCTATATTGCCTGTGATGAATGAGAAAAAGGGGGAAGCCTTTTTGGCTCTTCCTAACTCTCAATTAGCTGCCCAGTTGGAGAGTTTTGGGGATTTCTATACTAAGAAGCTTAGCTTAATAATAAAATTCTCAGATTGCAGTTTTATAGATCTCCTTAGAATTTGCATAAGTCCATTTTACCTTTTATGACTTCTTCCTCTTTGTGAGTGTTTCCCCCTGCATTCTGGTTCTATTTCTGATATATATGGAGAGACGTCATAGTAAATGAACTAACCTTTTGATTTTTTTTGTCCTCGAGATAGATGGAATATCTGGGTGGTGGACTAATTTGTGTACGTGTGTGTTTCCTCAGCTGTTGGATGTAAATCTACTAGGATTAGCAAAATGATTTCAAGTCCTGAAGCCAGTCATAGATGATTGGGGGATCATTCAGTGTGCTTTATTCTAAGATGGTAAGAAGATTCAGGCTGGCAGTAGGAAAAAGATGTCCACAAAGGGATTGGTGAAGTGATCTTGGCCACACTGATCACTTCAAAATTATTCCTTTTGAAAATGTGATTAGAAAAAACTCACTAGGCAGTCCTTACTTATAGACATCAGCTTCAGCCTTCATATGGAGTTGCACCTTGCGTTTGTGATCTCCGGGAACTCATCTCTCACAAGATAAAATTAACTTTGGTTTCCCATCTGTTTGATATCTGTTGAAAAAATAAAGGTAATTCTTCCTCTTTTACAGTCACCATTCAAGTTAAATCCATTTCCCCCCATAAAGTCAGTTAAAAGGGCTCTTGTGTTTTTTTAAACATAAATTTAATTGAGCAATCTGGTTTAAAGAAGGTCTCAAAGGCTTGCAGAATTTTAAATGTGCAAAGTATCTCAGAGTTCAGTTTTCTGGAAGATCAAGGGTGGTATGACTTGAACCACTCTGGTATAAAAAGAACTGAGATTAAAACCTCTGGGTTCTGACTCCTAGCCCAGTGTCCTTTCCAATAAAGATCTACCGGGAATGGCTATTGGGATGTGGTGGGACCCTTCATTTCAGCCCTCTCTCCAGAGGAGGACCACTCCACTTCTTTCGCTATCAAGGCTTAGTCTGTTAGAACGTTACGCTAGTTGAACCCAGCTCGAGGATGTGACAACTGTATGCACCAGCTAGCTTCAGTCACTTCCTAGTAGCTGTTGCAGTATCTGCAGTTACAAAGGAGGCATTGAAAGGGGAGCTGGCTGTGGAAGAGGATTGGGTAGTGACTCAGTTTGGACCTATCTGAACACATGGAAAGACTCGGATGTTAAAAGAATGATGAGAGTTTTAGGTGATGATTTAAGATTTACTTGTGAAGCAGAACTCAGAATATTAATTGTGTGATAGTCTCCTCTTTCATACTTTGTGATTTTTAGTTGCTGTAAAACCAAACCAATAACTTGGAATACAACCCTATTTTATGGCATGGTTGAGGATAATGAGAATGGGATCTTACATTTGTTGACTACTTGGTATGTGCCAGGTGTAGACTGTTGATGCTAATGACACATTCTGGTTAATAGATAGCTTTCTCTGTGTGGGTGAACTACGGATTTTCAGAGTCATGAATCTGAAACCATGTTGAATCTTCTTTTAGTCACTTTTTAATTCAAAAGATGTGAGGATCTTACAGTAGCAAGTCATTGGCATGAGCATACATAATTTTAATTCAGAAGTATCATAGTGTCAGATATTAGGGAGTTCTTGTTAATAAGATGGCAAATAAAAAGAAGTTGCTGTATTTAGAAAGATAAAAAGGAAGTAAAGATATGAATAACTTGTCTCCTTGTATGAGATTTTTTTGTAGCATTATTACTGCAGAAGAGTGATATATCACTTTTAGAAAGATATGAAGATATCCTTATATTTATTATAGTATAAAAATAAAACACTAGAATTTTCTTTAAATAAAAATATGGCATTGCACACAAAATACTCTGTTTTGGCTTTGTTAATACTATGAGTTCATTCCAAATTAGAAACCAATTGAACATTTCTGCGGTGTTTCAATTTTCTTAACTAAACATGGCATTGTCAACAGCTAGAGTTATTATTATTAGTTTTTTTAATGGCCATTGAGTCTGCTTGGATTCTCCTAGTTTCAAATCTATGCCATATGCTTAAAGTTTCTCTGAAAATTCATGGTTTTCTTTCTTTATTCATTTTCATGTCATTCCTTGCTTAATGAATTATGAAAATATTGGCGAGTCCTTGGTTTACCATAGGTACCTCCTATGAATCATTGGGCTTAAAGCCTCAGACTTTAGATACTGCTTCTAAAATAATCAAAGAAAGTTTCCAGCGAGGAAGAAACTTAAAGATCATCTAGTGCAGTGGTTCTCAGTGCGGGGGTTTGCTCCCCAGGGTGCACTGGGCAATGTCTGGACACATTTTGGGTGGTTACAACTTGGGGCTGGATTGGGTGGGTCTCTAGTGGGTAGAGGCTAGGGATGCTGCTAAACACCTTGTAATGCACAGGACAGCCCCCGCAAAATAATGATCTGACTCAAAATTTCACAAGTGCTGTGGTTGAGAAACCCTGCTCTCGTGCAACCTTTTGGGTTCAGAGTCATGAAATAGGTTGGGTTACCTAGTGTCTCATCTCTATGTCTGGCCAGGAACCCAGGTCTCTAAATGCATCAGCTAAGATTCTTTT